GGGGGGGGATGCAAGATAGACATGTTGTATTTGATACATACTGAATATATATAGGTTGTATCACTTGTATTCATCCGCTCTTCTATCATTTATATTCATTTGCGATGTAGAAATAATGATTGATACAACTGCATCACTTGTATTCATTCTCTCTTGTACCACTTGTATTTACTCGCAAAATAAAAATATATAAATATTGAAATACAAATTGTATTTGATACTTACTGGTTGATATAACATTGTATGTCGATACAACAATTAGATTGATGCAGTTTATATAAATATCTCCTCCTTCTTCTATGTTTTCATTCCATATATCCAAATCAACCCTTAATCAAATGGTGCGAAAGATATTACCAAATACATATAGTCAGCCAAAGTATGTTAGATTTTTGATGGTGTGAATTCAAATTGAAATATTTTTTTGTCGAGGTGGTTGTCGTCATATAGTCATTATTATATAAATATAGATTTAAATAGAGAGGCGGGAGAGAGGGAGAGAGGAACGAGAAAGGAGAGAAGACAAGAGAGGCGAACGAGTGAGAGGGAGGTTTAGTTTTTCACTTGTCTCTAGTTTCCGTACTCTACCTTAGTTACCATATATTGCACTCAGGAAGAAAAAATATAAGGTTGTTTGGTGTATATATAGAGATTAATCTTGATTCTTTATTTGTGTTAACAAAATTATGTATTTATTATATTCAGGTCGCAATAGCACAAACTTTGACTAATCCAAATAACAAATTTACGGGAGCTGGAATGATAACTAATTTTTACAATCCTCATGTTGAAGATGGTCAACATAGTGCATGTCGATTAAAAATTCAGAAAGACTCAGATATCATACAAGTTGGTTGGAGAGTAAGTGTAACATGAGCATTTATAAATGTAATTTAATTGTTTCATGAGAATGAAATGTGATAAGGATTGAATATTGTATCTCTGAGATTAAAATTAGAAGCTTTATTTAACAAAAAAAACCCACTTTATCAGTAAACTCACACTTAATTGTATAATTTTGTGTTTTAGGTGGACCCAACATTATATGGGGACAGTAAAACTAGACTTTTTATACATTCTCAGGTAACTTATATAAAGTACCTTAATGATTTATATTGTGAGTTCATGAAGGTAGTACATTTATTAGCGCTAATGTGGAAATATTCATGTGTAAGTTATATATTTCTTTTTTAGTTTGGTAAAACAGATTGTTTCAATACTCTATGCCCTGGATTTGTGCACGTAGACACTGGGACACCTCTTGATATGTCATATATGGATAGTCTTACACACCGTGGAGTCGATGGATATGAGGAAACAATGTACATTGAACGGGTATATTTAACGTATTTCATTTCCCTCTCTTATTTAAAATTTGAATCAATGTTCTTACTAGTACCAATATTATAATTTGAAAAGCATGTAAATATTGACATTGGGATTTATTTTTTGAAAATAAGGATTCAGTCAATGGAAATTGGTGGCTTTTATTGTCAAGCGACTATGCACAAGTTGGTTTTTGGCCTCAAAGAATCTTTACTGGCTTGACAAGCTTTGCTATGAATGTTGAATGGGGAGGAGTCGTGTATAGTCCACCAGGTGTACCTAAACCTCCCATGGGATCAAGTTTTTTTCCCATCAGAAATAATCTTTGTGATGCATTTTGTAGAAGTATTGCAGTTCTAAACAAGAATGGAAAGACAATTCAAGTAGACAAAGTGACCACACATGTTGATAATCCTAATGTGTACAAGGTTTTATTCGAACGACTTGGAAATGATAAAGAGTCTTACCTTTTTTTTCTTTACGGGGGACCTGGCGAGAGTGCACAAGTCTAGGTCTTGTTAATTTTTCTTTCCAATATCTAAAGAAAATTGAGAAATTCTTAATGAATTTATATTCAATGTTTTCAAGCATGCCTAACTAGCAATTTCTGAGTACTTTGCAATTTGCGCCCAAATGTATGAATATGTTTTAGTAATTTGCATCTTATTTATCTTTTCTTTTTAAAAAATAAAACAGTGTAATCTCCCTTTTATTTCAAAAAAAAAAAAAAATCTGTTATTTTTAAATATTTATAAGGTCAAAACATATATACATAGGAATTCTAAAATTACACCTTAATAAATTTGTTTCTAAAGACTAAGCACACAATTCTCCACTTATATTGCAACGAATATAACTACCGAATTTTGGATTAATCAGTACCGGATATTGGATTAATATTGCAACCAAAATAACTTAAATCGATGAAAATTTGTTAAATTGGTATGAGATAAATTGTTTAAAAAATTAATTTATCAAGTTTCTTAACTTTATCAATATAAAATAACGTTCAATTTTGCTATTTTGTTCACATAAAGTCATTTAATTTTGCCCAAGTTAACTAAACAATAAATTTCACCTAAATATTACCTAAACAATAAACATACATCACTACCATATATACTAATTTTATCTCTTCTTTCTAACAATTACATATATTACCACTTTTAATATTTTATATCATATATTATTGAAGATACAATCAATACTCATATCCCTTAAAACTAGGATAGATTAATTATTTTTACATTTAAACTCCAAAATTAGTGTTTTAATTAAAAACAAATATCTTTCTCTCAGAGTATGAGTTAGGGTAAAACTCAAACTCTAACTCTTTCTCTTTCCTTGATCAATCGAAATTTACTAAGAAGAAACACTCCATTAAAATGAATGTTCTATAGCTTATCAACACACACATCAAATTCTTAGCCTTTGATTTTCTCACACTCAATCAATCCCCCACGAATCCACCATTTTTTTCTCGCAAGGGGAGACACCTCTCGCACAAAGACAATGGGTATGGTTGTAAGTAGAGATTTCAAGCCCAATAGATTTATCAAATTCGATATTGGTGATGGTACCGATTGCATACCTTGTATACTATATGGATCAACCAAGAAACTTCGCGTTACTTCTCCTGTCGGATTTAGGCACATTGAGCAACACCTGTAACACCTTGGACTTCGAAATGGGCAAAAGAGGGGTTCATAAAAGTCACCCATCAGTTTTAAGTTTTGGGTCAACTTCAAACGATCATATCTCTCAGAACATTAGGAATTATATGCCCCATGACCTATCAAATTAAAGGTCTTTGAGTCCTCTTTTCAACGCCATCAAGTATGCTTCATTTCAAGCTCGTAGTAAAAAACTATGCACGTTTTAGTGAAGCCTCTCTTTTAAGGCACCTCAATCATTTTTAGAGGAGGTAGTTTGGTCTTTTTTCCATCCCTTCTAAGCCTACCCACGTTTTTTCTTCACCCAATTAAGGTCTAAACATCGTTAAAACAATTTTTCATGTTCTTTAACACTTTGAAGAATTAGATCAAGGTTTCAATAGGAGAAAAAAACTAGGATTTAAGCGTTCTTCAAGTTTCCATCGATTTCACCAAGGAACTTTGTTCTTTCCAGGTATGTAATGCTACTCACAATGTTCGACTTGTTCGTCCTTATGCCCTACATATCAATTTCATCAAGAAATCATTACATCTAAATGATCCATTCGTAGTTCTTGATAAATATTGAATTCAGTTCTTTAACAATTGAGGTTTGATTATTTTGTTTTGTGAATCTTATAGTGTTGTTCATGCTTAGTGTCACATGAACCCTATTGATTTAGTAAATTTATGTTTTCTAAAGGAATTGTATGAAAGTTTTCATGTTGGTTTTGGGTTTGAGAAACAAGAAGATTTTAGGAACAATTTCCCAATTCTAAACTAATTTGAAGTCCTAATTTTAGCTTGAAAATTCGTCGGGGTGTTGGGGAGGCACTGGGGTGGCGCGCCAAGCCTGGTCCCCAGTAGTTTAGTCCCTGGGGCGGCGCACCAACAGTGTGCCTAGGCCTAGCTCCAGTAGTACAGGGCATGGCGCATGCGCCAGCAGTGCACCCTAAGCCAGTGCTTGAAGTTTGGGGCATGGCTCTCCCTACCAGCAATGCGCCAGGGGTCGCTGGCCAATCTCTCATTGTTTCATCCAATGCGCGTTCCTTTAAGTTGTGGCCACACTTCCCTTCCTTTTATAGGTTCCATTTACCTTTGAAAATTCCTGCATATCCTAATAACATGTTTTAGGGTACATTCAAAACTAAAGTGAGTTTAAGAGAAAAGATTAAGAGCTCTATTTTCATAAAAATATAAGAGTTTTTAGTTGTATATATATATATATATATAGATCTTGGGCTTGAAACATAAGTCCATAAGTATACGTTTTAAATGTAAGTATGTATTATGATGTTTTTGAAAATTACTTCAGTAAAGTAATTACCCCTTTCTTTGTAAAGGGTTAATTGAACATAATTGATATTGAATATTTTTGGAAGTAGTATCGAGCATCGAATTGGGTTAGAGTCTTTTATAACTCAAAAGTCCCATAAAACTACGTAGCCATCGTATGATAGGATAACATTGATTCTTCATGCGACTGCTCACTTTCTCTGAGAAAGCATGTTAGATGGATCCATAGTTATAGTATCATCCTATACCCGGCAAAGTATAGGATGACCCTTGCAACATGGGAAAAACATTGTATCATTGTTAGGCTCATGGTAATGATTTTTTGTTAGAGAAACTTCCCACAAGTAACGTATATTATTTTCATATTGCTTTTATCGCATATCTTATTGTAACGCTTAAAGGGTTTTCATTTCATATTCATGCATTGATATAGCATCGAGTTGCTTGTAGTCTATCAGTGCAATTATTGTTTTATTCAGCCTTATTACATACTCGTATATTCAATGTACTGATGTCATTCAACCTGCATCGTTTATGATACAGGTGTTCATGATCATCAGCATGTGTTTCGTAGAGATCACCCTACATTCGTAGACAATATTTGGTGAGGTCTCCTTGCTTCCGGGAGACTCCATTTTCATTTTCGTTATAATAGCATTTTAGGTGTCGTGGGTCTTGTCCCGACATCTATCCTGAACCGTTAGAGGCTTCATAGATGGACATAATTAGATATTTTTCATTTTTTTCTCAAGATGTTTATTTAACTGATGAATTATGTTAAGTATTTAAAGACAGTGTTTTAAAACTTCTCTTTGAATGTTTAAATGCTCATCTATTTAAGCTTCCACGTATCTTTTAGTGTCATATATGATTCATAGTTAGCCAGACCAAGCGAACGGATGAGAAATGGTTCTCGAGTGCCGGTCACTATCACGCCCCGAGCCTACACCTTGAATGTGACTGGCAATCGAGAATCATTTCTGATCCCCATGTGAACCCTTGGCCTGGCTACATGACTTACATGATATTACAAAATATGTGGAAGCTTAAATAGGTGAACAATTGAACATTTAATAAAGTCTTAAAATACTGTCTTTGTAAAATGTTTAATATTAACCATGAGTTAAACAGAACATCCTGAGAAAACAATGGAAAACATCTATTCAATCTATCTATGAAGCCTCTAACAGTGTGAGATGGATGTCGGGACAAGACCCATGACACCTCCTAAAGGTACTAACTAAAAGGAAACGGATTCCCCCGAAAGCAAGGAGGCCTCACCAAATGTTGTATGCGAGTGATCTCAACGATTCGCCTGTTGATGACCCTAAATACTTGTATCTGCATCATGAAACAATGCAAGCCATGCAAGTTATCATAGGCTGATTGGAAAATTATTATACCTAACTGTAACAAGACCTGATATAGCATATAGTGTACAAACACTTGGTCAGTTTCTACAACAACAAAAAAAAACGCACATGGAAGCAACTCTAAGAATAGTCAAGTATATCAAACAACATCCTGCTTAGGAATTCTCATGTCTAGCAACAAGAAATACATAATTTCAGCATTTTGTGATGTTGAATGGGCATCATGCTCTTTCACAAGAACATCAATTACAGGTTTTATTGTAAAACTAGGTGATTCACTCATCTCATGAAAGTCAAAGAAGCAAAATACAATTTCAAGAAGTTCAACAGAAGCTGAATATAGAAGCATGGCGACCACAGTGTTTGAACTGTTTGGTTAATTGGATTAATGAAGGATCTTGGAGTACAACTATAACTCCCAATATACATTTACAGTGATAGCAAGTCAGCAATTCAAATTGCTGCCAATTCAGTATTTCATGAGAGGACCAAACACATTGAAATAATTGATTATCATTTTATAATGGAAAAAATTCAGAAAGGATTGGTTAGAATAGAATACATATCAACCTAAGACCAGCCAACTGATATTCTTACAAAAGGCCTAAGCAAACTACAATATGAAAGTTCTCACGTCCAAGCTCGAAATGTATAATCCGTTTACCACTCCTAACTTGAGGGGAGCTGTTGGACAAAATGATGGTGTAAGGCCTAACGTAAACTGTGGTCCAATAACTTGATAAGCCTATATAATTGGATAGTGAGAACTAGTTAGTTAAAAAGATCCCAAGTGTACTCTGAATATATTTAAGACTTCTTCTCTAAACGATCGATTGAATCAATAAAAAAACTTCTCTCTTCTTGCCTTTTCTTCATTCTTGAATATCTTCTGTACAATAGTGACTGAGTTCAAAAATATTAAAATAAATTAAAACGTTAAAATTAAATGACACTTTTTAATTTATTATTTTAAAAACAATACACATATATATTTTTTGAAAATAATTAAAAGTGAAAAGAAAATAAATTAATGAAAAAAGAGAAAAAACAAAATATTTAAAGTAATAAAGAAAATAAAATAAAATACATATTTTATAAAATATTTTAGGGGATAATAGGATCCTAGTTAAGTTTAGATGTGTCCTTAAGATTTCGGTCATAATTTAGAGGGTATTTATGCTTTATTTTAAAAATAGAAAATGACTTTTGTGGAATAAATTTAAAGTTCGTTAATTTTTATGTGGTATGATATTTTTGTGTGATAACTCTTAAGATTGAATAATTTTTATGTAACATAAAATAAAGAAATGATTATTATTTATGTAATAAACACAAAACTAATGACAACCAAGATTAGTCTTTTCTTCCTTACTCTGCAATCCCTCAAGTATAAATTTTTAATGAGATAAAATTGCAAATTACAAAGCACCACAGATTAAATTAAACTGGAGAATATAATGATGCATATAGCTTAATTAATTAACCTTGCAAAAAATTGTGAGCTTCAGTCTTTAGAAGCAAATTTAATAAGGTGTAATTTTAGATTACCTACATATATGTTTTTCCCTCATAAATAATAATAAATATAATAGATAAATAAAGAGATTAGGGTGCAAATCATTTTTAAAAAAAATATTAGATAGATAGAACAAGGTGCAGATTACAAAAAAATTGCATACATAAGGGTGCAAATTGTAAAGTACTCAGAAATTGCTAGTTAGGTTTACTAGAAATTTCCAATTTTCTTTAGACATTGGAAATAAATATCATCAATAATAGTAATTAACAAAACTTAGATTTGTGATTTCTCACCAGGTCCCCCGTAAAGAACATAAAGGTAAGACTCTTTATCACTCTCAAGTCGTTCAAAAATAGCCTGGTACATATTAGGATTATCGATATGTATGGTCACTTTATCCACTTGATTCACCGTTCCTGTCTCGTTTAGAACTGTAATACTTCTACAATATGCGTCATAAAGATTGTCTCCGATTGGAAAATAACTTGATCCCATAGAAGGTTTAGGTACACCTAGTGGACTATACACGACTCCTCCCCATTCAACATTAGTAGCAAAGCTTGCCAATCCAGTAAAGATTTGTTGCGGCCAAAATCCAACTTGGTCGTAGTTGTCTGACAATAAAAGCCACCAATTTCCACTGTCCAAATCCTTATTTTCAAAAAATAAATGTTAATATCAAATAATGTTTATGTGCTTTTCCAAATAAACAACCTTTTACTTATAAAAACTTTGATATAAATTCTAAATATATAAGACAAAGAAACGAAACACATAAAATATACCTGTTCAATGTATATTCTTCCCTCAAATGTAGTGCCTCCACGGTGTGCAACACTATTCATGAGTGACATATCAAGAGGTATCTCAGTGTTTACGTGTACAAATCCAGAGCAGAGGGTATTGAAACAATGTGTTTTATCAACCTAAAAATAGAAATATATAACTAACACATAAATCTTTTTAATTCGAAGTTAATAGTTAAATGAAAAGATGTACCACTTTCATGCGCACTCACGATATAAATCATAAAGGTACATAAGATAAGTTACCTGAGTATGTATAAAAAGCCTAGTTTTGCTATCTCCATATAATGTTGGGTCCACCTAAAGTACAAAATATATACAATCAAGTGCGAGTTTACTGATAAAATGGTTATTTTTTTCTTAAATAAAACTTATAAGTTTCATCTTAGAGATACAATATTTAATCCTTATCACATCTCATTCTCATGAAACAATTAAATTACATACGTAAATGGACATGTTAAACTTACTCTCCAACCAACTTGTAGGATTTCTGAGCCTTTTTGAATTTTTAGTCGACATGCACTATGTTGACGACCATCAACTTCAGGATTGTAAAAATTAGTTACCATGCCAGCGCCCCTAAACTTGTTATTTGCATCATATGGAGTTCGCGCTATTGCAACCTAAATATAATAAGTACATAATTATATTAACTCATATAAGATATCCAAACCTAAGAAGCCTCTTGTTGTAAATTAGACTAACAAGATTAAAAAAAGGTTGTTTTCTTAGAGTACATTAGATCAACATATTAGAAAGTTTTCAATTGAAAATTGAAACTGAAAGATAAAAGTATGATAAATTTTTCATAGTCATGTAATGTACCTTATATCCAGATGTGTATCTTTCTTTTGGCTCACTATTGTTGTTGCTCTGCATTAGATAATATTGGAATATGTGAGTTTTTCCATGATAATTATTGTAAACTTTTTATGTTTGTGCATCAACAATTTTTCTTATCTATAGATAAATACATGGACTCTTAAGTAATGAATTATTCAAGCAAAAGTAGTAAGTTGTTCATAAATTATCTTACTACATCAAATGTGACATCTTCTGGTGGTGGTAGATGTCTTTGTCTTAAAATGTCATCTTTTGTAATTCTCTTAATCGGAACAGTTCCAAAAGGACAACCTCCATCTTTTGACCATATTGTCGATGACCAGCTACTTGTTGAGTCACTTGATTTTTTCTTTATACTTGATAAAGTAGGTTTCATCTGTCCCACCGAATGTTTAGTTATATGTCAACAATATCATATTCTTGTTTAATAAAACGAAGAGAAAACGGAAAGAGTGTAAATATATACCTTAGGATGAAAATTATGGTCCTTCAACAACAGGTGATCAAATGCATGTTGTTTGTAGAAATCTACACAATCATATATATCCCCATACTTAGTCTGCAAATAAAAACTTCGATTCAAATCCTTTGTTTAAACTATTATCTACATCAATGTAAGTAACTAGTGGGGAATAAGAATAAAATTAGTTCGTGCATATATATTTATTTGGCTTACAATAATTAGAAATATGAAAGGGTCGAGTGATAATAATATATAACAAATTAATTTTAAATTTTTTGAAGTAGTCTTTTGTTTAAGAGAGAAACTATCACTCAACTTTTAGGATCGTCTGGTTGGGAACTAGTTATTCCAGGATTAATTATTCTGAGATTAGTTATTATGGGATAACTTATTCCCCTTGTATATGGATAACTTATCCAATCACTATGGTATAAATGGTGGGATAAGTTATCCCAAACATGTCAACCAAACAAGACATCAAAATTTTATTCCATTCTTATCCCTCACACCACACGACGGATAGTTTGGATTTGACTCCTCATCCAGTTTCCTTAAGTTCTTATTTGGATGAGATAGACACACATCATAGATTTGAATGAATGATTGAGATTTAATAAATTAAAGATAAGTATTAACTATGATTAAGATAATTAATCACTTTCATATATTTATTTCTTTAAATATTTTTTTAATCTTACAATTTTATCCACTAAATTTATTCTTTCTTTTTTCCTTTAAAAGCGACCCAATCATAGAGCTGTAAAGGCTTAAAATATGTATCTTCAATTATTCTTATTATATCAAAGTTTATTTTTTCAAATATTTGATTACTACATAATGTACTGTAAAAGAGTTGCACTAAATTCTAGTAATTATCCATATATTTTTGAAGTGAGAGGATCCAAATTTATCTTCTCTTTAAACATTGAAATTCTTTTTCAAATCATCCAAAAGCAAGAACAATTTTTATTTTTTTTAATTGAAGGCAAATAAGAATTTAAAAAAAATATATTTAGGAGTGATACCATGTACCACTAAAATTGTGGGATTAAAAATATTTTTAAAACAAATATATGAAAGTAATTAATTACCTAAATCATAGTTAAAACTTATCTGCAATTTATTAAATATCAACCATTGATTCAAATCTATGATATGTGTCTCTCATTTAAATAAGAATTTGGGGAAAATTAAAGAAGAAAAATAGAGAGCCAAATCTGAATAATTTGATAAATTAACTTTTAACTTGAGATGTTACCCTTTTCCTATATAGAAAATAAAAAGTAGTACACTTTGTTTGATGGTAAGAAATTGAATTTTATGGCCACTTACAGCTACAACTTACAACTGTACTTGCATCAGAAGTAATAATTTTCTTATAATATTTTTCAAATTCATTCATGCTTGTAGTATTTTTAATAACTGCATATGAATTTTGGTTGGGTGGGATTGGATGGATTTTTTTAATAGAATTTATATTTAGAGATAATTGCATTCTAATACTGTCCAAGAGCAAATTGCTAGCAATTTTCAATATATTTGACTAAAAATAAAATAAAAAGTGAAAGATTTGTATCCATTGGATATGGTTTTTGGATTGGGTCGGATCGTTTTAATTGAATTCATATTTATTAAACTAAAAATAAATATATAAAATAAAATTACACACCGAGAATTGAATTTTCCAGCATATGTGATCATTGTGTTAGTAAGGAAAATTTTATGATTTATGTGTTAAAACACATAATAATTAAGTTATTTTGATGGAAAAAACTCAATAGTTATTTGACTATTTATGAAATTTACCCATCTAATATTTGACCATGAAAAGTTGAATGTGTGTTTGTGTGTGGGTAAAAAGTACTATAATGTAGAGGGTTCACAATTTTCAAGTACAACAAAAAAAATTACAAAAGGGAAAAGAAGGTAAGATCTATTTTCCAGAATCTATGTGAGAAAAAAAAATTCCACTACAAAATCAATATTATCAAATAAAAATATAATGCTTCAAGAGATTTATGAGCACAATAAACTCAAAAAGGATACTACCTGAACAATTTTGATTGCTGGCTTGTTTAAGAGTTTTAGTTGTTTTTCTAACTCCACGTCTTTTGATTTGGACAAAATCCTCTCTCCTTGTACTCCATCATAACTCAAAAGAAAATATAGCATCAACAAGATTTTTTGATGCATCCTGAATGTATTTATTTTTATAGGTATGAATGTAAGGTGTTTTTGAAAAATCAAACTACAATGAGGAAGACCCTTCATAGAGACTAAGTTGACTATTATATAAGATATTGAATTTAAGCATGATTAACATAATTTAAAAAGATTTTTATTTAGTAAATGTCTATTGCTCATTAGTAAGTTTTAACTAATAGCCAAAATAGCAGTCTAACATAGATTTGAATAGAATTAATTCATGAGGCTTGATGATTTCACATTTATGTAATATCCAAAAAAGAACATTTGACCATCTGACTATATATATCCACCTAATATCCAAAAAATTTTTTACCATATGACTGGTCATATCTAAAATGTTCATGATTTAAATAAAATCAAACTAAATAAAATAATCGAACCAAAAATATTTTTATTGATACTTGGTTCGTGTTTGGTCATGCCTGATTTTCTTTACTCTTTGCTTTTTATCTAATAAAAGTGAAAAATTTAAATTCATGTAGGTATATTAATATTTGATCCATTTGCTAATTACAATAATTCCTTAAAATTTGTACCTTCCGGATACATAAGTCACCATCCGAATACATTAATTCTAATACAAGAAGAATCTTTCTGTTGCGCTAAAAAGGGAATAAAATCTGAAAATTAATTAAATCTCATAAACTATGAATACGTTTCTTCTTATTCTCAATCATACAGAGGCAAATCCTAACAAAATGAAGAAATTCAAAATTTCAAATTGCTTCCCCATTCAACGAAGAAACCTTTCAGATTTGATTAAGAAACGTTTGTCAAAATTTTGGGTAAGCGGGGTGAGTTATGAAGGATACAAAAGTGATGGAATTGTTGTTGGACAAATGATTTCCTTTTGAATCTTCAAGTTCATCGAAGATCCTTTCAATTTTAATTCAAAATTGTTGAAAATTTTGAGTTTCAAAATTCTTCTCCTAGTTTATTGAAGATCCGTCAATTTTTTTGAGAAGATACATCATGAATATCTTTGCTACTTACTATTTTACTATTTATGTATCTTGTTAAATTGATATGTATTGTATTTATACTAGATACATTAAATAAATAATAGTTACCCATAAGATGTTAGATTTGAGATCGATATATCGTGTGGTAGTTGCTATGTAATTGATGCATTTAGTATAAATTCGAATTTACGTATCATATCTAAAAATAATTAGTGCATGATACATTACTATTTATGTATCTCGTTTAAATTGATAAGTATTGTATTTATACTAGATACATTAAATAAGATGTTAGATCTGAGATCGATACATTACCGTGTGGTAGTTGCTATGTAATTGATACATTTAGTATAAATTCGAATTTACGTATCATATCTAAAAATAATTAGTGCATGATACATTACTATTTATGTATCTCGTTTAAATTGGAAAGAAAAAAAATAAATGAAGAACTACCTCTTGATTAACTTTAAATCATTAACTGGAGATAAAAAAATATTAAAATTCAAAATAAAGGAGTGATGAAGGTAAGTGATGATATAGTGGAGTGATTATAGACATGAAAAAAAGGAAGAAAATAGTGGAGTTGGAAGATAGAAAGTTATGTATCTGGAAATGAGAGAATTTGAGAAAAAAGATGAATTTTTTGTAATTTTTAAAAATGATAGGGAATAATAGAAAATCGGATTAAAAAAAAGATGTGTATATTTAGATAATTTTTCCTATATTTAATTAATGCGTTTCACCCATGTTTTTTTTTTTTTTGCATTCTTTATTTTTGACGAATAATTTGATGATCTTAATGATTACATTAATTTTCACTCATCTTCTTATACATTTATTATAAATGTTGCGATATTTTGAGGATACAAAAATAAATTACAATCTAACCACAAAAAAGTTGGTCTTAATTTTTTTTCTTACTTTTTTTTGTTCTTTTTCTATTCACATTTCTTACTTTTTATTTCTCATATTTTCACACTTAAAATGAAATAAGAATAAAAAACATAAATAATTAATAAACAAATATATATTTAAGGGAAATATTAAAACACAAATTAACCGTTGAATCAAAGAATCGTAAAAAATTCACGTATGACAAAGATCAAATATGACCCTGAACTTTACTAGAATGATATGATATGGATCTACATGATTTTTTTTTAAAATCAAGTTAAATTATTTTTTCCTTTTCATTAGACAAAAAAAGTATATCTGGCCATTTGTGTAATAGTAAAAGTATACATAGACCATTTGTGTTATGGTAATTGGTAAAAGTATATGTGAATCACTTTTCTAACGAGAATATATCAGTTTTAAATCACAAAATTGAAAGATATATAGGCTCTTTTCCCTGGTTTATGTGAGATTCTTTTTTTCCTTTTTAAATTTCCTCATATGCTTTGTTTGATCACTTCAGAAAAGAAAAGAACATATTTTTGGGATGAATATTGTTCCTCAAAATTGAGTTGTTCAATGCATTAAAGGGAAACGAAGAGTTTTAGTTTTGAAATTGTAGTCTTAATCCTTAAAGATGTCACAAAAATAATGTCCTTATCTTTGGTGAATTGACTCAAATTATAATTCGGTAATTAAGCTTGATCAATCTTTCTAACAACAACATTAACTTTTAATTGTATAAAATAATTGTTCCAATTTCTTCATTATATTATACTTTTAATAAATGGAAAATTTGGTACACTGTATTTCTTATAGTTGAGGGGTAAATTTAAATTACTCCAC